TTTCCTAGAAAAGTCCTATCACACTGTAAGGTCCAGAAGGATAGGGACTCTATCTTATTTGTCTTTATTATTTGGAAAGCATCTAGCCTACTACCTGGCCCATAAGTACTCAATAAATGTTTGTTGAATGAATCGATGGGTGAGTGAATGAAAGAAAGAAAGAATTAATAGCTATAAGAAAAGAGCCTGTATTCTAGAATGAGCATTAAGATGGCCCACATTAACTCTAAGATACAGAGTTATCTTCTCTTTTCCACATAACACAGACAGGGCAGTGGTTGCCTGTGGTCTCTGGATTTTATACATTGCACAAAGGTGCCTGACTGAAGGCTGGGTGGGGCTGAAACCCAGCTTGAGTTCTGAAGCTTGGCATGAGGCTGCACCTACCTGAAACAATAGCCACCTTTTTATAATTTGCACAAAGGCTCCATATGTGCTGGTGGAAAGTCAGGTAGCCTTGGAATTATGTCCTCCCTGTGCTCAAAGTTCTGTGTGATTTACTCCTCATACCCTCCTTCCTTTAGTTTTGATTTCTTTTCTGGGTGTGGGATACTAGAGGCTTCCAGAACAATGGGTAACAGCATGGCAGGTAATTTTCCTATCCTCTTTTGGCCCCATGTCCAGGGTTTTAGGAACAAAGCCTTCCTGGATTAACAGATTTGTAAGAGCTGTTCTACGAGCAGCAGATGCTAATGTGATTGCTGTGGACTGGGTTTACGGGTCCACAGGCATCTACTTCTCCGCCGTGGAGAATGTGGTCAAGCTGAGCCTGGAGATCTCCCGTTTCCTCAGGAAACTTCAGGTACGTGCTTAGGGGGAAGAGTTTAAGGGGAGTTGTGGTTGCTTATGGAGAAAGAGAGATGAAAGGCTTAGGTTGGAAGTAGAGCCACATAATGGCATGTTGACCTTGGGTTCAAGTCTCAACTTCGCTGCTTACAGTGCTGACCTTGGGCAGGTCATTGGATCTTCTGAGACTTCAGCTGCTCTTCTTCAAAAAGTGCCCTTGCATGTTATGTAGTGAGTGCTGATGGCCTGGCAGTTGGTCATCCTTCGAGAGGAAATGGCTGCCATCCTTACTTACACATGAGGGAAAGTGGAGGGCTGTCAGGGTGAGGAACCCAGGAAGAGAGGACGTGACTCAGGTGTGTGGCGGGTGTATTGTGCCCCAAGGCCCTGTGTTTCTGAAGCCTCAAGGAAAAGTGTGCCACTGTGAGGCCAGCGGTGGCTGTGGCTCACATGTAACTCACTGTTCATGCCTATCCTAGGCGCTGGGGGTATCGGAGTCTTCAATCCACATCATTGGTGTTAGCCTGGGGGCCCACGTTGGGGGCATGGTGGGACATTTCTACAAAGGCCAGTTGGGACGAATCACAGGTAACATTGCTCCCTGCCCATCCACTCAAAGTTTAGAGATAGAACTTGCCATGGAAATGCTTCTTCTGAGGTGAGCAAAGGGAATTGTTGACCTTTTCGTCTCACGATCAAGTCGTCTACACTTTATTGTGGTCCTCCTGCATGAAACAGTATGATGATGTCTAGTATCAGTGCAGGAGGCTGTGTCTTTCTTTCTGAGCTTCAGTTTCTGCATCTCTAAAATGTGTTGTGGCAATCTGTGTCTCCTTTGCCCACTGGAGAAACCACCTGCAGACAGTTTTGTTAGACACCTGCAGAAATGTGAGGACTTTAAACTTCCACCCTCAGTTAATAAGGGACTAGAGTTGCATGATAAATTCCCCAGCTTCCTGCCCCTCATGGGGACAATTCTGAGTCATGTTCTACAGACTTCCTCAGGCCCCATGACAATTTACTCAATATTTTGTTCATTTTCTGACTCATTTCCCCATTCCTTCACAAGGCTTTTTGTGACCTTCTCCCAGATCAACTACCTTTACTTTGAATCCTTGTGGCAGGGTCTCCTTTTTGCTGGGGGAAGGAGGAAAAGATGTGGAGGCCAGGCATGATGGCTCACGCGTGTAATCCCAGCATTCTGGGAGGCTGAGGCAGGTGGATTGCCTGAGCTCACAAGTTCGAGACCAGCCTGAGCCGGAGCAAGACTTTGTCTCTAAAAATAGCCAGGTGTTATGGCAGGCACCCATAGTCCCAGCTACTTGGGAGGCTGAGACAAGAGAATTGCTTGAGCCCAAGAGTTTGAGGGTTGCTATAAGCTGTAATGCCATGGTACTCTACTGAGAGTAACAAAATAAGACTCTAGCTCCAAAAATAAAAAAGAATAATAATAATAACAACTAAGACATGGGAAGAGTGGTGTCCACATCACTGTACACTAGTTGTGAGGACTAGAATATATGATCCTACCTACCACAAGGCCTGGCATGTGGTAACTACTCCAAAAAAAATTATAACTGTTGCTGACCTGGGTGGTGCATGCCTATAGTCACAGCTATTTGAGAGGTCGAGGTGGGAGGACTGCTTGAGGCCAGGGGTTGGAAGCTGCACACACTCCACCCAAAGCGACAGAGCAAGAACCTGTCTCTAAACTAAACTGAAATAAAATATTACTTGCATTAACTCTTACCAAATCGTTTGGTGTTATCAGGTTTATTTTAGATCCACAGAAACTAAGTCAATGAGAGGTTACCTCTAGAGAGACAACAGAGGTTTCCAGGGTAACTTGGTCTCGAGGTAGTTCTCCCAGCCCTGGGGTCCTTGTTGGGAGACTGTATGACCTGAACTGGAAGGGTTGCCAGGGTAGATGTATGGTGGATCCAGGGATGCCCATGCAGCTGAGAGGAAAGAGGCTGCTGATATCAGTCTGTCCTTGCAGGCCTGGACCCTGCTGGACCTGAATACACCAGAGCCAGCCTGGAGGAGCGCTTGGATGCCAGAGACGCCCGCTTTGTGGAAGCCATCCACACAGACACCGACAGTGAGCTGGGGTGACCTTCCTGGGGTGAGGGAATGAGCACAGGGCAGGGGTGGGGGCGTGGAGGCTGCTACTGAGCTGTGTGGCCCTAGGCAGAGATGCCCTGACCCGCTCTGAGCTTCTGTTGTTCAGTGAGGCGTTTACCAGCATGATTCTGGAAGTTTCTCCAGCTCCATCATTCTATAACCACTGAGATAAATGGATTTATTTTTAGCTACCTATAGAAAAGAGGATTCTCTTTTGTGAACCACAAATGTTTGGTTGGAAATCTTATTCTCTGATTTGACACCAAACTTTGCACTGGGGAAAGCATCACTTCTTGAGTTCCAGTAAAGCCACTCTGCTTTTTCAGAATGAGTGTGCCTGGCCCCAAGGGACAGGGTTGGGGCACAGCAGCCTGTCAGGACAACCTTCCTCCCCACAGGACAACCCCAGTACTTCAGTCCAGGGGAGAATGAAAATCCCCTCCCCATAGTGACAGATACAGGAAAGACCCCCGCACTTTCCATCCAGTGTGATCTAACTACGCTCTTCAAATGGGAAAGGCAGTGGGCACCCTTGGTCACTTCTATTCTGTGTCAAATGCCCTAGGAGTCTGTTCCAGGCACTGCACTCAGTGTGGTGGTGCAAGGAGAAATAACTTCTGTCCCTGACTGCAGGAGCTTGCAGTTCAAGCAAGAGATGTCCTTGTCTGATTCCCTTTGGTCAGATGCTTTCTTTTGGCATCCAAGACCCACAGATTCATGATTCTAGAAGAAACCCAGGCAACATACAGTCCAACCTTCTTTACCACCTTCATTTCACAGATAGGAAACCAAAGCCCACAGGCCAGCCTGGCTACGTTATGCTAATTAACCTTGCTAATTATTAAGGTGAATCCTTTCTGTCCCTAAATTTTCTAAGTAGGTGGTCTATTAGGTCCCCATTTATCTGAGCTCAGGACCCTTCAAAATTAGAGCCTCTTCCTGATGTAACTAAAAATAATGATTCCATTTAGTCAATCAATATTTACTGAACTATGTAGTAGATACTAAGGACACTGCAGTGAACAAGATATTGAATAAGGTTCCTGCCCACATGAAGATCACTCACTTTTTTATTTAATACACATTTATTAGGCACTCACTGTATGCCAGGGACTGCACTAGGTATTGAGGGTACAGCAGGAAAAAAAAAAAAAGACAGGCAGAGGCCCTGCAATTGGGGAGCTGATGTCACTGAAAGTCAAGATGGTTACACACTGTGATTATTACAGTGAAGCATGTGCGAGACAGGGTGACGTGGGTAGGGATCCACTTCAGGCAGGATGATTAGGGAAAGTCTGTCCAAGGAACGAGACTTCGTGGATGAGAAGGTGTCAGCCAGGAAGAACTTGGAGAAGAGCATTCTGGGTAGACAGGGCAGCCAAAATGAAGGCCTGGACACCGGTGAGATGTGGCTTGTCCAGAGACAGGAAAGAGAACCATGCATGTGGCTCCAGTGCAGTGGCCAGAGGAAGAGATGTAGAGTGAGGCTGGAGAAGAGGGAGCCAGTTCAGGCTGGCCCTGGCCAAGAGTGCCCCGAGCCCCGGCACTGACTAGGGGCTTCTTTAAAAACTTACTATGGGCTCGGCGCCTATGGCTCAACCGGCTAAGGCGCCAGCCA